GAAAAGAAAAAAGAAAAGTCAGTGCTAAGCTGATCCATCCTCCTGCCTCAGCCTCTTGTATGCTGGGGCAACGAGTACGCTACCACGCCTGCTGTTCACATGCGCACGCACGCACACACGCGCGCGCACACACACACACACACACACACACACTGTTCTTACTCCCCATTCAGCCACCGGCAGCCACCACAGTCCTCACTTTAGGACGCTGGTGTTGCTGGTACTCGGGGCAATGTCCAGTTAGGGGTTACGTTGGTTAAGAGTTCCTTTTAATAAATTTAACGATTAGTTGGGCTGTTTAGCGCTGTACCATAAAGCAGAACCAAGAGAGGATGTGAGTCGCTCACGCCAAGGCCCGCTGGGTGCTCGCCATCCCTAGAACCACTGTGGACCCCTCACACTGGCTGGTCCACATCCCAGGGGCACTCCAGGGACCCCCCTCCCTGCCCTATTTCTTTTCGTCTTAGTTTCTATGATTCCCAGAGAGGGGCATTCTCCAACAAGCATGCTTACTTTTTGTCACAATGATCCAGTAGGTACGGCCCCATTTCTAGTATGCACATTCCAATTTGGAGACAGCTCAGCACCGCCCGTCATTCACTTTTCTTTCTTTATTTTATTTTTGCAGAACCGGGGATTGAACTCAGGCCCTTTCGCTTGCCAGGGAAGCGCTTATTCCACTGAGCCATCTCCCCAGCCCCGTTTTTGCTTTTTTGGGACAGGGTCTCACTGTGTAGCACAAGGTTGGCCTGGAACTCCAAGCCATCCTCCTGCCTCAGCCTCCTGAGTGCTGGGATGACAGGCGTGCGCCACTATGCCTTGTTGCTGTCCTCTGAAGGCCCCCAAATGGACAACCAGAATCCGTTAAGCACTGATTGGACAGGATTAGGGCAATCTCTATGAACTGCAAGCCATTTATATCCCAGGGTCTAGCGGCCACCAACACAAGCCCCATGACACGCGCGCGGTTAATCGGGAGGACAGGTCAGGCCATGCGTGGTCCCACACAGCACCCAGAAGACCCACAACCAGGAGCTGACTAGATTGGGGACATGCAAGGGCGTCGTGCTTACCAGCTTGAGAGAGAGCTTCGGTAAAAACGCAAGCGGTAACGGGAGAGAGGGTGCCAGAGGCGGGAAAGAAAGATAAAAAACACATCAGATGAAGAGGTATGCAGCCCGGGGCTGCGGCGCACAGGACACACGGCTCACGGGGCAGGGGTGACCGGCAGCGGATCTGTGCGGAAGTTCCCACGAGGGCGGCCCTACGGCAGCGCTCAGGTCACGGCCAGCTTTCTAGATGGGGCTTGTTGGGGGTCCGCGAGTCTCAGCCACCCGGGGGTGCTTGCAGTCAGCGCTATGTGGGGACCACTGCAGAAAACACCCATTCTCTGGGTTACCAGGCTTCTCCCAGGAGGTCCCCCCATATGTCTATAAAGACCAGTTACTTTTATGACCCACAACTGACACCTTTATCTTCAGGGACACTTGGAGCCAGGAACCTTGGCGTTTAGTAAAGGTACTGAGGCCTCTGAGGTTGCTGAGTGGATAAGGAAGGAGGAGAAGTCACTAGGAATTTGCACACCTGGAACCCCAGCACTCTGGGAGGCTGAGGCAGGAGGATCTCAAGTTTGAGCCCTGTCTGGCCGACATAATGACTTAGTGAGACCCTGTCCCAAAATGAAAAGATAAAAAGCACTGGGGACACAGCTCAGTGCCAAGACCCCGGGTTCCATCCAGTACCGGTCTTGCCCCAGACACCTCCACCGGGGGCAGCGGCATCTCAGGGGTACCTTGAGGGAATGGGAACCCAGCTGTCACCCCGCAGCGCTGTCGCAGCGCCTCACCTTATCACGAAGCAGACACAGTCTCACTGTACCCACAACAGAGCACTTGGTGTCCACCAAGCTGAGACGGGACAGCAGGTAAGAGAGGGACATAGCAGCACCCAGGAGCACCACACCCCGCATTCACCCAGCTGCTGCTGTCCCAGGCTGGTACCAGGACCCAGATTCAGCAAAGACAGTGCCTGTGGCTTTTTTTTTTCCCTTTTTTGGAGACAGGGTAGTAACAACAGCTACACAGTCCAGGCAGGCCTTGAGCTCACGGTGATCCTCCTGCCTCAGCCTCCTGAGTGCTGGGATGACAGGCAAGCGCCCCTACGCCAGCCTTTTCTTTTTAAGGCAGAGTTTATTTAGGCTCCTGTTTCAGTCCTATCACCTTTTAAAGAACTTGTCCTTACAAGGGGGAAGAAAAAGACCGAAAGCCAGCAGCAAGCAGCCCAACAGCTTTCGGGAAAAGCTGTGTGGAGGCCCCGGGTGGCGGTCCTGCAGGAGGCTGCCCCGCCCCGGCCCGAGCCTCCTGGGCACCTGGCACAGATCCGCCGGTCACAGGCACAGACGACACAGAGGCAGCAGGCCAAGTCCCCCGCCAAGCAGCCCACAGGTGCCGCCCCCCATGACACGGACCCCTTTGTCACTGGGATTAGAGATTCTGTCTAAAGCGCTCACGAAACTAACTTCTAGCGTCCAAGCTGTAGCAGAAGCCCATTTCACAATGAAAGTGAATCCTTAGGGTCAAACCTCAACCCCACAGAAGCAGGAAATACTGAGGCTGAATTCCACTTTCTAGAGGGAACAGAGAAGGTCATTTGAAAAAGCAGCATTTGGTGTGCGGAGTGTGGACTGCTTTTTTGTTTGTTTGCTTTGACAAAGCTGGCGCCGAACTCACAGCGATCCGCTTGCCTCAGCCTCCCGAGTGCTGGGACGACAGACGTGCGCCGCTGAGCCAGGCTTGTAGAACGCTTTGTCAAGATTATAAACTGGTTCTTGGTCTGGTGCCGCAAACCAGTCAAGTAGATAACTGGAGCTTAGAAAGCCACTCATCAGCTAGGGGTAATCCTAAGGCTCCGTTACGTGCGTGCGTTGCCCCACGCTGAACACCGGAAGCTGTCAGTTTCAGGTGACAAAGAGCCTCAGCCGGAAGCGTCAATAACACGTGCGAGGCGCGGCCAGCAGGACATGTGTTATTGGACAGTCACAGGGACTAACCTCACGTGCAGAGAAAGGGGACTCCGGCCGGCTACAGCAGGGGCTGAGGTCACACTGCTGCTCTGCCTGCCCACAGCCAGCTGCCTCTCGTTCTCAAGACCTGGGGCACAAGCCTCCCCAAGCACCGGTCACAAACGTGGGTCACCTTACGGACAACTGTCGCCTGTGCGCGTGTGTCCCGTGACAATGTCTGCGGGTGTGCTGGGGGGATTCCACTCTAAGAGGCTGGCCAGTGACAGCTCAGCGATGCCACACCCCCGTGAGGATCCCCCAGGCCTGGAATGAGATGGAGAGGGCCGGTGAGGCGACCTCTGCCTTCCGATGCCAGGATGTGGGAGGCTTGCGATGCAGCCCTCGGCCGTGCAAGTTCTTCACGAAATGGCCACTGAATTTGTTTTGGTTTTGGTTTTTGAGACAGGATCTCACTATGTAGTGCAGGTTAGCCTTCAACTCCTGGTGGTCGTCCTGCCTCAGCCTCCCAGGGCTGGGATTAAGGGCCACTGAATTGATAGGGTGAGATTTCCCCGATCCAGGGCTCTCCATTGAGCGCACCCCCTGGTGGCATGGAGGAGCCACGGCCGCATGGGGTCCCCCGTCTGGCACGGGCGATGGGGTTAGTGGCGCCGCCGTGACTGTGCAAGGTGTGACACAGGGACACTTACAACATAGGCCCTGGCCTCAAAGGCATAGGTGGGCTTCCCTAGAGTCCTCTTCATGAGCTCTTTGTGAAAACAGTAAGACTGAGGCTGCCAATAATCAGCGAGAAAACACGGTGAGGTAAGCGCAGTTAGTCACCAGAAGCCCGTAATGCCTGACAGACGGAGCTTCTGCTTCGCTTGGACATTATTTGTCCAGACGATTAACTCTAAAATATGGGTGGGGGTCCAAATTTTAGGCACAGCAATCCTTCCAGAGGCCCAAAAGAACCCTCATTTTAGACAACAGTGGTACACTTTGGGAATGCAAGTTGAGGACATGCTCTTTAGTTTTTTCTTTTTTCTTTCTTTCCTTTTTTTCATTCCTTTTTTTTTTTTTTGCGGAACTGGGGATTGAACTCAGGCCCTTGCGCTTGCCGGGGAAGCGCTTATTCCACTGAGCCATCTCCCCGGCCCTTCTTTCCTTTTTTTTTTGAAACAGGGTCTCCCTAGCAGCCCAGGCTGGCCTTGAATTTTTGATATCCTCCTGCCTCAGCCTCCTGAGGGTCAGGACTACAGGCCTGCGCCACCACACCTGGCTCTCCTGTTTATTTAGAAACAAAATCAGTTGTGCTAAGAGATGTTTGATAGGATTTCCACTCAGATACTGGAAATAAGTGAAATGTAAACCTGAAAGCCTCAAAACCTGATAAATGAGAAGACATATGAGAGTCACAGGGTTGTTACTCTCCTAGGGTGCTTTTCCCAACTAAACTATCTTTGGCATAGCAGCCTCAAGTGACAATGAGAAAAAACCACACGAGAGGAGCTGCTGCATCATAATTTTAGCATGCAGTCAAGCACCTTCTTGCTGAGATTAAAATCAAATCTTGAGGCTGGAGAGATGGCTCAG